CAGCACTGGTAGACACCAATGTTTGAGGGGTTACTGAGGTGTGTAGGCCACCTCCCCTTTTCTGAAATATCCCAGAATGGAGTGTTTTTAAGTTATTAGGTGAACTTCTTAAATTTCTCCTGCTTCCTCCTCTGTCATCATGCTGTACACAGTCATCTTATTACTGTCATGACCTACACCTGATCCATCCATTCCCCCCATGCTACCCGCCACTACTTCTTGAAAAAGTCCACGAGCTTCAGAGCACAAAAAAGGGGTAATAGATGAAGATGAGCTCTGACGATCAGATTGCTTAATATGGTTAAGCACATTCCTGTTTTACTCCAAGGATGCTATTATTAAGTCAGATGTGAAACTCCCTTCTGATACATATCACTGTCCTCTGATTAGATGTACAAATCTCTTGGTGCTTCCATTTCTCCATTTGTAAAAATGAAAATAAGTATATCTGCTATGAAAATTGAGTAGAGAAACACACGTAAAGCATTGGATACTGATCCTGGCCCACTGGATGCCTTTCTAAATGAATTGTTTTCATTGACAGTGTTATTGCCTAGATTATGTTGAATTCAAGAAGCTGTAGAAATTACAGCAGAAGGCGCTGCTATTCCCTGTGGTCCAGTACTCCATCAACCACCACAGGAAGTGGTGAGATAAGCCATAACTGAAACACTAGTGTAATGAAAGGAACACTAGATGCAGTCAGAAATCTGGGTCCAAATGTTGACCTAGGTGTAGTTTTACTATATGCCAGGCACTGGTCTAAGTATCTAGAATACACTAATTAGTTCAAGTTGTCACAGCAACCAGGAAGGCAGGTCCTGTCATTACCCCACCTTACTCATGGAGAAACTGATGCAAAAAAATTTAAGTAACTTGCCCCAAATCACATATTGGACAAGCCATGGATCTGAACCCAGAGAGACAACTATAAGTCTGGGCTTCACAGACTCTCAGCCCTCTTAGCTTCAGTTTTCTCAAAGGTAAAATGAGAATAATAACCCTACGCTGGAACTGGCAGAGGCTATAGCAAAGTCAAGTATGGTTGTCATTAAGCTGCTTGACCAAAGATTTACTCTGTTGAGTGAAAGAGGATGGCCAAAGTTACATCATCAAAGATGTGATAGAAGATTATTCTAGGTCCAGAGGCCAAGGACAACAAATTTTAGCAAACCTCAATATGTTTGCTGTTAAAAAAGAAAAAGGTGGGGGGGGACAAGTTATCATATTTTGAAAGAATTATTTGATTATTTAAAATCTTTTACTTTGTCAGTTAAGGATAATACCTTTCATGGTGTATAAAGAAGTTCTTCTCACATGAGTTAAAAAATGACTATAGAAGCATATGTTTCAGTCAGCATATAAAAGTGTGTGCTGTTGGGACGCCTGGGTGGCTCAGTGGGTTAAGCCTTTGCCTTCAGCTCGGGTCATGATCTCAGGGTCTTTGGATCGAGGCCTGCATTGCGCTCTCTGTTCAGTGGGGAGCCTGCTTCCCCCTGCCTCTCTGCCTACTTGTGATCTCTCTCCCTCTCTCTGTCAAATAAATAAATTAAAAAAAAAAAAAAAAGTGTGTGCTGTCCTCTAAATGGTAAACTGATATATTGGGGTGAGTTTATTTTGCTTTCCAGGTCAGTGTAATTGCCTATTGATTCTTAGGAAGGGAGAAAAAAAAGTGCCATTCAGAGAACCTTTGCTCTTTAATTTCTAAACAGAATTATAGCTTAGACGGAAAAATGACATTGTTCAACAGCACCTCTGAGAGCAAGGGCCAAGCCTTTTCCTAATTACTTGTGCAAAATTGATGCTCAGTAAACATTTCTTGTTTTAAAGGCTTTACCTTGTATAAATAATTCCTGCTTTGTTAGACAAATTCATGTTGCATTCCTGATCAAGCACTTGATAGAGGACAGGCAAAAATACAACAACGGTAAATCTTTGCATCATTCAAAATTGCAAAAGTTTGTGTTCTAAGACTAATGGGCATCAGCATACCACAGTTTCTAAAATTATATAAGAAATTTCAATATACTGTGAAGTGAATACACAGAACCCTACTGAGTTTGAAATTGCTCCTACCTCAACAATGAAGATTAACTAAAGCCATGGTTTCCTTGCCTTCTTAGAATTTACAGAGGCACTGAACTTTATTTTGAACAGACAAGTTTTCTTAATAAGAGAGGGAGAGAGAAAATGAGAGAGAGAGACTGGAAGAAAAAAGGGAGGAAGAAACAAAGAGAAAGCAATCATCTAGGGATGTCATAAAGAAATTTTTATGCCCCAGGCATAAGTGGCAAATGGCCTTGTATGAAGGAAAGAGTCTGACAAAACCCCTGCTAACCTCAGAACCATATGACACTTGGGATTCATGCTTCTCAAAACCTGTCTAACATCCCATGGAAACCATATTAAAGACGTCGGTCTTGAAAAAATTAGGTAATTGTTCATTCGATTCTCTATCTCCTTCCTATTATTTTCATTTGATTCGTGTGTATTTATATAGCATTTCCAGGAAGCACTTTACTCATAATTTTAAGGATTGTATGAAAGAAAAATGTAAACATGAACTAAACATTCCCTGCGGCCAAATCACTGAACAATGTAGTTACTGTTACTCCTACAAGCATAGTATTTAAAATCAGAATAGTCACAGAACTATATGTACTTCAGATCTCGAAACAGAAAGTTAGCTTCATTTTGGAATACAACCTCTGATGGACCATTTTTAAAAAAGAAGATTTATGCATCTCATTAGAAATTTTCAGATATGTCTATGAAAGCTTCTTTTTTCCTGCTAACCATGAGGCACTTATGGGCACAAGAAATGTGTTGTTACAGTTTCAGTAGGTCTTTATCATCAGATGAATTGGGCAGGCCCACAGCTACCCGGTTTATTGCAAGTTTCAAATGTGGTCTCTGAACCAGTCTGTTTGGGATTCTTTGTTACTGGGCTGCAACAAGATAAGCAGAAGCTTGGCCAGGATGTAAGCCAACTGGACCAGGAAGCTGGCACTTTTTCTTAAAATGGTGTAGCTTCCCCCATAAAGGAAGAGGTACGTCAGTTTACATTGTGGGGCAAGTTCTCTTGTGCCCTTAGGGACCAGTGACTGTTTATGGACTGGCTACTTTGAGTGGCAGTGCTCTAGCAGTCGATTTTTAAGTACAAGACACTCTAGTGTGAAGCTTGAACTCTTGGGTTCTGGAGGCAGGCAAACCGGAATTTGAATCCTGGCCTCGCAACTCAGTATCCAAGGACCTTGCGTGAACTGCTCAAGGTTTGCAATCCAATTTCTGTACCTGTGAAACTGGGAGAGATGTGTCTCATACACATTAGGGTGAAGCTTAGACGAACTAATCAAACGTGCTTAGCACAAAATCTGCCTATATGAAGAGATCAGCTTAAAATACGCTTAGAGGTATTCTTCCCCGTAACTGAGGAAATGAAAACTTTGCTGTCCTCCATATGACTGTGACTGACAACCAAAACCACCTGAAATATTCAGACCAGTTAGGATAAAAACTTCCTTCAGCAGTGAAACACAAGAGTGGTTGAGTGCCTGAAAGGCTCACGTGGCAAGGAAATACTCCCTGCTCCCCAAAGAAGGAAATGCATGCCTATTTCAGAGAGAGCAGGCATGGGAAATAAACAGGATAGAGGAAAGGGCTTAACATTTGATGTCAGAACATCTGGGGATAAACCCTAACTTTTAGAGGTTGCTTTAACTGGAGGCCAACGAGTTCTTAAATGAGAAAATAAGACATTTATACGCATGCAGACAGACACTGCATAGTTCTTGGTGCAGAGAAAGTGCTCAATTTATTTTGTCTAGTTAGCCATTACTAAGTGCGCAATACAGTTGACTTGGTTTTGTGCAGAAATACATTTCTTATTCTGGAATCTGGTGATTCAAATATTTTAGTCAATATTTGCATTTATCTTCTTGTTCTCCACCACTGACTTACTAGGCTTACCAAGTCATTAACGAAAAAGGAAATCCTCCCCAAGTCCTGCCATATCTAAAATACTCTTACAGTCACATCAAGATTCTGTAAATCATTGACAAGTCCAATTAATACCAAATCATGACACCACCATTGTGATAGCATTTAATTACTTGGTTGGCATGATTTCAAGCAAAGATGGTAAAAATAAAATCTGAATAGGAGAGTTAGCCTTAACTTGGGGTTTCCTCATCTATGTTTATCTATCTACCAAGCTCATAAACGAGGAGCTGAGTAGACAAGAAGGGGGAGGAAGACCCGCATTAATCTCTATTCCCCAAGCCCAGTTTTATGGAAAACTATGAAACAGCAATTAATTATCAAGCTCTGCTCACTAACACCTGTGCTGAGGAGTATGCATGGGAAAAGACGCATGGAAATGAATCAATCATGTCTATTAGTGTAGAAACATCTCCTCAAAGAGTGTATAGTAAGATCATCTGTGCAAAGTCTGGCTGCCCAGTATGCACGTACATTGTTCACACCCTGAGGCCGCGTCATGTCCGTGCTGATGGTGCTCAGCTAACCCAAACTTATTCAGTTCCTTCTCATGTTTTTTTCTCTACCGTAATTACCTCCTAACTACTTCGTCCTGCCTCCAAGATAATCTCTCCTCAATTTATCCTCCCTAAGGCTGTGGGAATTAATTTTCCAAACTGCCAATCTGATCATGTCATTTCCCATTAGAATCTTTCGATGGCTGCCCATTACCCTCAGGATAAAATCCAAACTCCTTAGCCTTATCAGGTCCCTGCTGATTTCCCCCAGCCTCAGCTCATATTACTTACTCCCTCACTTAGTCTAACGACAGTATTTGCAACTCCTTCCCTGTTCCAAACTTTCCTCAGTGCCTCAGCCATGTTCCTCGTCAGCCAAAATTATCCTCCCCTTTCTCCACATTATTATCAGACAAATTCTTACTTCACAGTTACCACATAGCAGAGGGCTTCCCTGGTGGCCTCCTCAAACTTTCCAAGGGTTTGAGCAGTCCCAGCTCTTACCTCTCAGTTAACTTGCAAATCCGGTAACGAAATGATCAGTGTTCATCTCTGAACCTCCCATTGAACTATAAGATCCCCAAAGGCAGGGAGGGTCTTCCTCTGTGACTCTCTATTTTCACTGTCTATTACAGACTTGGCACATAGCAGGCTTTTAATCGATTATGAATTAACAAATACTCAAAGTACAGAGCTGAAGTTGCCCAACAGCATATCTGAAAAGTATCCAAGCAAACTATAAAAGATTCTCTCTGGAATTCCTCACAACCAAAGCCTAAAATAGCCAATATTTATTCATCTTCAGTTCCAAGTAGCGTTCATGGTGAGGGGGCAGGGTGAACAGACACAGCACTCAGCATCAGTTCTGGGCAGCTTCTCTGCTAGGTTCTTACCCTGTAGCTTAAATTGTCTTCAGATCAACTTGGTTTCCTGGCTGTATTGTTTTACACAAGGAAGTAGACACACATCAGGTGTGGGCACAACACATACATGGTCCACACTACCATATAGCTTTTTACATTCAAGAAAATACTGCATTCTTTTTCAAAGGTCATAATAATAGAAATTATGTTCTAGTTTTCATGCACTTAAAGGTATCCATTTAGTAGCGTTAGGTTTTTTTTTGAATGACTTAGATAGGGACGTGTAATTTAAACTGTTGGCTTAATAGTGTCAGTGTTTCAGTGGTCTCAGCTCCACCTGGAGGCTAATACCTGGCCTATGTAGTTAATTGAAGAGTGCAATTTGCTGTCCCCACCGAAGGCATGACCACGGTCACACGGAGAGCACTTATCCAAGCTGCCTCTGACAAGTCTTCACAGCCACACACAGATCTAGGCAGATCCAAAACAAATATACAGAAAGTGCAACTTAGCTGGAGTCTGGACACCAAAGGGGAAGAGGGGAGGGGCCAATCCTTTGTGCTAAGGGCAGTCACGTGCTGGAACTCCCGAGCAGCACCGGGTTACGTGACGGCGGAAGTCGGCGGTTGAATACACACAAGTGCTTGATCAACTGTGAGTCATTATGTGGTATTTGAATGTGTCCCTGAGATGCTGGATCTGTATTCTCATCTAAGAATCTGTGGCCTTCATGATCAGATATTTGGAATGCAGACGATCTGGGGACTCGTGAACATTTTCCAGATGAAGAATGAAGCAAATGGTGTGATTTATTCCCTCTTAACTTTTCAAATTATAGAGGACTCACATTTCCTTCCCAACTTGAGCAAGGCAAGGCTAATTTTACATTCCCTACTTTTGTGTCTCCAAGGATTAAGAGTGCGGAGCATGCATCAAAGATTAAGCTAATTATTTTCTAGACAACATGAGGAAAAAACAAGCAAAGTTCTTGATTTGATATCTGAGAATATTCTGCGAGTCTTTACTTCTCAAAATAAATGGCTTCTCCTCCTGAGGCACGTGCTGTTTCTGGTTTACTTGTTTGTCTTCACCTCCCCTCCTCATCCCTGTAGCTACAAGGAAAACTTCTCTCCTTGGTATAAATAAGAGATATGGCTCCCTAGGAAGTTTGCTAAGAGATTACAGATAAAGAAATGCAAACAGTTATATTTCCCTAAAACGGAAACTTAGGCTTCCCTGGAAAATGGATTCAGCATTTGGTAGGTGAGCTACTTGCTGATTGCTCATTATCATTTAGTGGAAAACAACAGCTGTCATGGTAGAGCCAGGAGGAAATCTCTTTGGCTGCTTTTTAAATTTTCCTATTTCTGCCTCATGTTTACTGAAAAGTTAGGTCTTTTTAGATGATGGGTATTTCTGGGAGTCAGAAGATATTTGTCCTTTAACAAGTTTAAGTGTTAAGGACTTTTCTGGTCAAGTTCTGGAAGAGCCCTGTCTCCCACCACACCCCCATCAGGCCATCCTCAAAGGGGAGAGAATGGTGATGGCTGGCCAGGTGCCTTTACACCAGACTTTGGCTTCCTGAGGTAAATCAGGGAGAAAATGACCCCTTTTCTCAAGTTACAAAAGAATAGGGCATGGCTCTCTAGGTTGTCAAGTATAAAACAAAACAAAACTGTGATACTAGCTCCATAGGCCAATTTTCTTTCTTTAGACCCAACGAAGTAGAGGAAGAGGGCCACACAGCCACCCATCAGGATATAGCACATAGGAATTCCAAAGCTGAGAGGCCAAAGCACACCTAGGATCATTACTAGGCACGGACATAGGAAGAGCTGCAATCTTTTTATTAATTGTCTATAACCGTGTTGTTGAAGAAGTGTTTCTGGACCACCTGCATCAGAACCACTTCAGAAAGGTTTTAAAAATACCTCTTCCTGAATAAGAGTTTCTGGGGTGAGGCCAGGGATCTGCATCTTTTATGACCACTCAAGAGAGTCTTAGGAACATGCACGTTCCAAAACCCCTACTTATACACCAATATCATTACATTTTTAGTTTTGTAAATTAAGTTGCTATAATTTCTTTCTGAGGGAAATATTTTTTAGGATGTGGGTGTGAAACAAAGAGCACATTTACCTAATTCTCAAAATATCAGTTTGCAGTCTTTGAGGCATGTGGGCAGTTTTGTGTTGAAACTTTTTTTTTTTTTAATTTTTGATAGATTCTAAGTTCATTCATTTGTTTAGGGAGAACCTGACAGCACTGAATTGACCTAGAGCTAACCAACTCAGAAAATTTAAATATCAAATTTACTAGACTTGGTCATCAGCTACCAAATGAATCTTCAGGATGGTCTCTATGAATGAAGCTGATCATTGGCTACTCGACATCCTTGACTCAATAGGACTTGAATAAGAGCTTTTGGACTAACTGATTATACAGACATCTACTATAGAAAATGATGGATCAGCATTTCATTTAAATATGAGCTCTTTCTTTGATATTTGCATTTATGTTTCACACTTTTTTTTTTTCCTGGATCTTAAGAATGGTGGGCAAGCAGACAACTTCTAATGAATATTGGAATATTGGAATATTCTTAATTAATTAATTAAAGTCAATCTTAAAAAAAGTATTCTCCAAGATTTTAATTCTGAGTTTATTATTAACTGAATACTCATGTATAATATAAATATAATATATACCATAAACACACAGTATAAGAGAAGGAAGTACGAAACTATATACTTTAGATTAAGCATACTGGATATAATTTTAGAGTCAAAATATGGATTATTTTATGAATGAAAATATAAATATTTCATTTTATCTTGATAATAATTCTATAATACCACACCTATAAAATGCCAGCCTCATTTGACCCAGGGTATCTTACAGAAAGAATAAGATTAAAGGCATAAGATGTTTCTTTTTGAATCATAAACGAGAAACTTTTGAAAATTTCCAAAGTGCTAGAAAAGATTTGGCCTTAGTAAATTCATTAAAAATCTAAGTGTTAACATCAACAGAAAGGCAGACAACTGCAAGAGTAAGTAAAGCAAAAACAATAAAATAAAATAGCGATTTATGATTCTAGAGTCTAGAAAACAAAATACTAAGTACATCATGGACTTACTCTGTTTTAAATCTCCATCACATTAATTGGGTTTACATAATATAAAAGATGCCCTGGATTTGTCAAAACGGGGGGTTACTGAAATTATTTTTTATTCCACCAATGTACAAGGAGGTGAATTAAGATTCATTCTGAGTCACTACTGACCAGAATTCGTTAATTGGAAACTGCACGGTAAGAAAAATGTCTACTGTCTATGTATTCCCAAGAGTAGTATTCAGACAACAGACAAGAATAACAGCACTGGCCACTCTTAACTGTGGCTTTAGTGAGAAAGCCCCAGAACACCTTCACTACACTTCAGTCTTTGATAGGTGACTGCCAAGAAGAAACTTGAATTGCGTCAAAGAGACTGTTCACAAAGGCCGTAGCACCAAGGTCATTACATGGTTGCGGTACCCAAGGCCATTTTCTTTTCTTTCTTTTTTTTTTTTTTTTTTAGTTTCTAGCTATACTTCTGATGAACTACATTCATCGTCAAAATGTTTCACTGTTATTATTTGATTTTCTTGTTATTGTTTTATTTTGTATGTTTATCTGCTTGTTATTTTAGGCAAGGTTGGAATGCCTTTTCCTGGAAAGGCAAAAATATTTGCAAGAACATAACATCTGGCCATTTCTTTTGGGGAGAGGGTTTAATACTCATTTAGGGGCTACCGGCTCACATTTAATCTAGTAATTTTCTTCTTAATACAGTAGTAATCCCCTTTCCTTACCTAATGAATGATGACTAAGTCCCCTGTTTTTGCTTCCATATTAAAATCAGCCACCGAATCAGGGATTTTCCTAAGATAGACAATACTTTCAGTTCATGTGGGCAGCACCTTTCATACTTTCAATTGTATTAGGTTTGGTGAGTTTTGATATAATTTTTTTTTAATTTAACTAAGCTTTATACCTAACATTTCTTTTTCTCTACCTTTCATTTGGTTTTCTTATCAGAATTAGTCTATATACAAAGACCAATCCTACCATTTGGTCTGTTCAATAATGGTCTAGTAAAATGCTACTAAATGCTATTAATTCCTCCACTATAAAATAATGATCCTTGTATTTGATAGTGCTAAAAGTTACCATGGGTGTGGGGTATCCACTTTTTAAATCCAAATACCCTGGAATTTTAAAGAAGGAAAAACTAAACGTCAATTTATCAGAATACCTGTTGGGGAACTTTCTTCAGAGCAAGAAGTTATGATATTTAAGAATAAAATCTAATCTTAAATAAATTATTTTTTCTAATAAATAATAATATTTGTGCATTTTATGAAATAAGAGGCCAGATGAAATGTGATAGGTTGACAATACTGGTCTCTTTGGTGGGAGAGTACCTTGATTTTTACCTTTTCTGAATTTATCTTGCATGTGAACTCATACACATATATATTATTATGTATAATCATCTCTATTTTTAGAGTATATAAGGGTTAATAATAAGTCATATGCTTCTAGTAAAAATTAAAATTATTTTACAAGTACAAATTATTAAGTTGAAACTAAATTGAGAAAGGAAAATATATTTTGCATTTATTTATGAGTTGATACTGTCTGGGAAATAAACAGTAGCCCTTTACTCCTTAAGCCCCAGACACACACAC